CTAATTATTATTACTTAATATTTTTTTTTCTTTTTTTTTTAGTTGTGTTAAAAGTGTTTTTGAAAAAATAAAATTTTACTTAAAACCTTTTGTCACATTGAAGTTGAACATTGATGTGAATCTAATATCATTAAAAAAAATTTTTTTTTCTTTCTAGATTTTGCTGAACAAATTGGAGATGAAATACAATCTGATTGGCTAACAGAAGGTAAAAATATGCATCGACAATTTGATAATATTATATCCCATAATGACAGCGATGAAAATTATTTGATTGAAAGTGATGGTAAGTTAAACTACTGGTTACATTTTACAGGGTTTGTAGCTGTCCCAATCCTGCTGGTGAAAAATATTTAGTCCTGATTTTTAGCTTTTTGTATTGAATTTTCTACAAATAAAAATGTAAAAATCAAAAAATTTATTAGTTTAAATGTGGCAACCATCAACTAATTATATCCATGGCTCAAGCAAATAGCCTTTCCCGCAGGTTTCATTATTTTAAACTGTATAAAAATTCAGACCTCCATTCAGGAAAATGGGTCAATCTTGTAGCACCAGTCGCTCCCGATATGAAAACTCTTACAGTTTGCAAATGCACAGTGTTGGATGTAGAAATATTGATCTTGTGAGTAGACGTAGCACTTGGGTGATCAACACTGTTCTTACAAATTGAAACATGGTACTTTTACTTGCATTTCACACAACAAGCCTGTTCCTTATGCGCACAGCTCTTTTTTGTGTGCCCGCGTCCAGTGCACAAAAAGCATCTATTAGTAGCTTTTAATTTCAGTATTCGTGTGTCTGTAACAGAGTTGCACTGTAGAGGAGAATGTCAGGTAGTTTCGCAAAAGGAACCGAAGGGAGAAGGTTTCTTACTTTTAGTAATTGACTTGGAATTTACATTGAAGTTTTCTAATGTGGATTTTAAGGAGTAATCAGAAGACATAAGACCTTTAATCTTGCTTGTTGTAAGGGTTCTTTCTACTTCTTCGGCGAGAAAATTTTAGTTGTGTAATATCACATTCTGAAATTTTTTGTCGTTTCGCATGAGTAACCCATCGGCAACAAATATCGTCAGGGAATGCACGTAAAATTTTAGGAGATAAAACTCTACCGTATGCGTCAATATCTTCTCCCGAAGCACGCAGAGCCTGTAGCCTTCCGTTGCATTCAATATAAACTTCATTCAGTGATGTTGGCGAAGGATTGCGAATTGGCGTTAATTCTCCAAAAAATCCAAATGAGATTGAATAATTCTATTTTTGTCACCATATTTGTCCATAAGTAGCTTCTTTGTGGCTTCATATGTATTTGCAATAATACTTATACCATCAACCAATCTTTTTGGTCCATCTTCTAAATATCCTCTGAGAAAAACATGTTTATAATTGATGATAGATTTGGATTATCGTCTAAAGACGTTTTAAATTGTTCCCAAAGACATTGCCAATGTTCCCCGTCGCCACGAAATGGTTCTAATTTTATCGTCGGTAGTTTACATTTTGTTGTGGTGACATAGAATTCACATTTTGAATCGGAAAGTTAGTAACAATTGGTGAATATACAGTCNGCAACACAGCTGCTACCCACCTTCGCATGGATGCCACAAGTCCTTGGTAGATGACCGGAGACAGATGGTACCAGATGTTTAAGCAGTGGTCACGCAAATCCGAGATATTGCGACATAGTGGTCTTTGAACTCTGAGCTGCCGTTCCATGATATCCCAAATGTGTTCTATGGGATTGAGATCCGGTGAGTTAGGTAGCCAGGACATTAACTCGAATTCAGCATCATGTTCCCGAAACCACTTCAACACAATTTAAGCCTTGTGACACGGGGCATTGTCCTGTTGAAAAATTCCATTTCCAGCTGGAAAAACAGAGGCCATGTAAGGGTGCAACTGATCCTCAATGATGTTCAGATACCCTGTAGCATTCATGGTTTGCTCTACCACAACCGCGGGTCCCAGAGACGCCCAAAAGAACATCCCCCAAAGCAAAATACCACCACCACCGGCTTGTGTATGACCCACTGTACATTGAGGGAGCAACTGTTCGCTTGAAAGACTGCATATCCTGACACGGCCATCGGCATGATGAATGACAAGTCGTGCAGTTTCAAAAATACTTGTTCCGAGCCTTCGAGCCATTACAATCAGCCCTCTATCAAATTCGCTTAGATCCGCAGCCTTTCCCATCACACACTGAAGTAAGTGAAAGAATGATTCTTCAAACTGTCCAGCAACAGTTAAATACCATTTCCACTTGATCATGTGCCTTCCAGGTCGTCCAGGAGAGTTCATTGCAAAATGTAGGGGTGGTTATAATGTTTCGGCTCTTGAGTATATATATATATGTGTGTGTGTGTAGAGAGGGACAAAATGTAGAGAAAACATGCAACTGAATAATGTTACACAAATATTTTATATTTTTATTATTGTGCATCGATTGTAATCTCTTCTATTAAATGGTTGCTTCTATACTATTTTTTGTAATCTCTTATTGATTGTTTAAAATCTGTTTTATTCCATGCTTACTTCTATACTATATTTTATTCAGAAAGAATTGTTAAAATTCATGCATTTTGAATTAAACATAATTATTAGCCATAAAAATTTTGTTTTCAGAAGAAGAGGATGATTTTGACATGCCAGAAGAATGTATATCAAAGCCGTTAAAAGGTAACATTAATTTAAAAGAAAGTGAAATATGTCGCTTTATTTCAATGTATTTATTATTTGCAGGGTTCATAGTTTTCCTGATACAAAAAGTCATACCTTTATTTGTCCTGATTTTTAGTGTTTTATACTGGTATTCCTCATATTTTTTTGTTGTCGTTTAGATCTTACAATTTCGATGAATGCATGATTTGAAAAGAATCATCTGAATTTTTAAAAAATTATTTTCACTAAAAAAGAAATAAGGAAAACTAGACTACTGAAAACTAAGGAAAATTAGTGTTTCTGAAAGTGAAATCTGTAATGTTTTCCATATAAAACTGAGTCAGCATGATACGGAATTGCTTCTTTATATTCTCCTCAGCTGAATGAATCATTGCTCAATCAGTTTTGGAACAAAAAATTTCTTAATTAACCACACCCTTTTTTTCAGAGTAGTTATATTTTTTTTGTTATATGCCTTTGTCATAGGTCAGTAGCAGGCACCTGTCCCGAAGTTCATGTACAGCAGGCATTTCACACCTAGGCTATTGAAGAAGAGAAATTTTTTTTAAAGCAATATAATCTTTCGTCCACATTTCTTCCTTTTTTCAATAATAGAGTTTAACCATGTAATGCATAACTCCTAAATATGCCTAACATAAAAGATAAATACTGCTGTGAGTATTCTGTTGTAACTACTATTTTAGAAAATATTGTAAGATGTATGTATGTTCTGGTGCGAAATATGTTTATTTAAGGTGTAAAATATGCATTTGTTACAAATAAGCTCTTATTTTGTTCTGAAAATAATCTGTGATTATTGGAATTTTTTTAGAACACTTAAAATTGTGTGTTATTTTGTTATTTTTTTTACAGTTAAAAATGTCAAGAAAACATGGAAAAAAATATAGTAAAGATTTATGAAAAGAGAGGAAGAAAAATAATAATTTTTAAAAAATTTTATTATTAAAAAGTAGAAGAAAAAGAGAAAAATAAAATAATGACAAAATATAATCTAATCATCAGCTCCCTCGATTATATCCTAAAAATTGCGATTTCTAATATTGTATTCAATAAGCCAAAGCAAAGTATATATATATATATAAAATTAAAAAGAGAAGAAGCTGAGACACCCCTTTTCCGTCTGAGTAGTGAGAATTTGTTTCCTCAATGCCTTTAACTTTACATATTTTTTATTTAAAATAAAAATTTGTCTTCCATTATAGTTTTCAATGTCAAAAAATATGATAAAATAAAGTCGTATTGCACTCTTTTTTTCATATTGTTGTCAATCATTTTAATGTTTATTGTTTTATTTTTATAAATTGTGTACATAGTCGCTAAATTAGGGATCATACACTAATTTTTGCTTGTATAACTTTGGGACTATATTTGTAAGCGTAGTCTTTTTTTAATGCTTGTATCACTTTTTTAATTTTATTTAATAATAATATATTAATAATTCTTAAAAATTGCAAATATATAAAAGTTCAAATTTAGAGATTGTCCACCAATTACTCCTTGTTCAGATTTATAGTCATTTTTCAACCTTTCAGTCATCTTAAGAAAATGAAACTCAGCAGTTATGTTACCAAAATTTTTTCTTAATATAACTGATTGCTAGTTAAAAATTGATGTGAAAGATAATTTTATTAAAATCTCTAAGCAGTAATTTTTTTCTTTTTTACATCTAATCGCTTTGAAGCCTCGTTTTTTTTTTAAATTTTTATGCATTTCATTTATTACAAGATCAAAAGTACTTTTAAAGTAATTGTTAGTTTTTTTCTTTTTATTTTGGTGAACTTTGTGTCCAGATTGCAATGTATTCAGAGGTGCCAACTGTTATGATTTATTTGTAATTATTGCGATTTCATGATTAAAATGACAGTTGTATGGTTAAGTTATAAACATTACAGTTTTTGAGATTTAGCATTTCGACCTATAGTATATCCATTTCTGTACTTTCTTTTGTGCTTTATTCAAACTTTTTCTCCCTGTTGCTTTCATTTACAATTTTTTTTATTATATTCCCTTCATTAGAAAAGTCTTGATTCCGACTAAGCTTTATACGTAACTTCAATTTTTAGAATTTTTTCATGGTAAATGAAGTGGCAGTTTTTAGAAACTTTTATTTATATGTTTTACATTTTGAAAGTCAAAAATAAAATTGTTATTTATTACTTAATAATTTTTTTTTGAATTTTTAGTTGTGTTAAAAGTGTTTTTTAAAAAGTAAAATTTTAGTTAAAACCTTTTGTCACATTGAAATTGTACATTGATGTGAAAGTACTATCATTAAAAACATTTTTTTTCTTCTAGACTTAGCTGAACAAATTGGAGATGAAATACAATCTGATTGGCTAACAGGAGGCAAAAATATGCATCTACAATTTGATAATATTATATCCGATAATGACAGAGATGAAAATTATTTGATTGAAAGTGATGGTAAGTTAACTACTGGTTACATTTTACAGGGTTCGTAGCTATCCCAATCCTGCTGGTGAAAAATATTTAGCCCTGATTTTTAGCTTTTTGTATTGAATTTTCTACAAATAAAAATGTAAAAATCAAAAAATTTATTAGTTCAAATGTGGCAATCATCAACTAATTATATCTATGGCTCAAGCAAATAGCCTTAACGCAGGTTTCATTATTTTAAACTATATAAAAATTCAGATATTTTATTTAAAAAAAAAACATTTTTTTAAATTAGAAAATTATATTATTAAAAAATTATTCGTTAATTGTTATCTCATTAATTAGATCTTCTATCCAAATGAATTGAGTGTAACTGATTTTCTAATGTTTATGCAAAGAACCTTAACTAACCTCATATATTGTGGTACCTGAACATAAATAGTTTTAACTGTAAATGATCCTCTGAATTTCTCTTTTTAAACTTTAAAGGTCGTTTCAACTAAGTCCTCTTCTTAGCTGCAAGTTATATATACCTCTCTCTCTCTCTCTCTCTCTCTCTCTCTATATATATATATNAATGCGTAGTTTAAAATTTTCAAGAGCGTAATTTTTTTAAAAAAATATTTAATCGATTTTATTTCAACCAAATTAAAAATAAAAAAAAGTAGAACATCATTTTTCTACAAATCTGAAAGCAACAAAATTGCCGAGGATTCAAAGGATTCTTTTGAAAAGTGAAGTAAAAGTTTTGTTACATAATATTAGTTGCTATATAACAATTCAGGGGGGAACCTTTTGAAAATCTGGGTAGGAAAAAAAACGAAAATGTTTTACTTGATTATTCTTTATTTCTCATTATTCCCAAATAAGAATAGAAAAATCATGAACATTTCTTTCCCCTCACTTCTTCTTAAATAAGAATTGAAAATTCAGGAACATTTCTTTCCTCTCTGATGCGCGAAATAGACATATTTTAAAAGTAATTTTAGAGACTAAAAATTTCTGCAGAAAAGAAAACCGAAATTCTTTACTTCCTAAAAGGAAATATTTCCTAATCCATCCTTTCAGCGAGAACTCTGTACAGTTTGCGGCAATGTCGCCGTGGTTCTGAAACTGGGAACGAAAATATATATATATATAATGTTTCAAAATGTAGAGAAAACATTGAACTGAGTAATGTCACACAAATATTTTATATTTTTATTATTGTGCATCGATTGTAATATCTTTTATTAAATGGTTGCTTCTATACTATTTTTTGTAATCTCTTATTGATTGTTTAAAATCTGTTTTATTCCATGCTTAATTCTATACTATATTGTATTCTGAAAGAATTGTTAAAATTCTAGCATTTTGAATTAAACATAATTATTAGCCATAAAAATTTTGTTTTCAGAAGAAGAGGATGATTTTGACATGCCAGAAGATTCTTTATCAGACGAATCTTTATCAGAAGAATCTTTATCAGAAGAAGAAGGTAACATTAATTAAAAAGAAAAGTTAATGGGTCATTTTATTTCTGTGTCTTTATTATTTGCAGGGTTCATAGTTTTCCTGATACAAAATGTTATGCCTTTATTTGTCCTGATTTTTAGTGTTTTATCCTGGTATTCCTCATTTTTTGTTTGTATGTTTTGTTTTGTTAAGAGCTTACAATTTTGATGAATGGATGATTTTAAAAGAATCATCTAAATTTTTTAAAAATTATTTGCACTTAAAAAGAAATAAGGTAAACTGTACTGCTGAAAACTAGGGAAAACTAGCGGTTCTGAGAGTGAAATCTGAAACGTTTTGCAGATAAAACTAAGTTATCATAATACGGAATTGCTTCTTCATCTTCTCCTCAGCTAAATGAATCATCTTTGAATCAGTATTGGAACAAAAATTTTCTTAATTAACCACACGCTTTTTTCAGAGTAATTATGTATTTTTTGTTATATGCCTTTTTCATAAGTCAGTCGCAGGCACCTGACCCTAAGTTCATGTACAGCAGGTGTCTCACACATAGGCTGCTGAAGAAGAGCAATTTTTATTTTTTTAAAGAAATAAAATCTTTCTTCCACATTTCCTTCTTTTTTCAATAATAGAGTTTAACCATGTTATGCAGAACTCCTAAATATGCCTAACGTAAAAGTTAAATACTGCTGTGAGTATTCTGAGGCAACTACTATTCTAGAAAATATTCTAAGATGAATGTTATGGTGTGAAATATGTTTATTTAAGGTATAAAATCTGCATTTGCTATTATTTTGTTCTGAAAATGATCTGTGATTATTGGAATTTTTTTAGAATACTTAAAATTGGGTGTTATTTTGGTTTCTTTTACAGTTAAAAATGTAGAGAAAACATGGAAAAAGTATACTAAAGATTTATAAAAAGAGAAAATGAAAAAAAAAAAATATTTTAAATTTTTATTATTAAAAAGAAAAAAAAGCGGAAAATAAAATAATGAAGAGATATAATCTAATTATCTGCTCACACGATTATATCTTTAAAAAATGTGCTTTCTAATATTGTATTCATATACTTACTTCATGACTTTTGATGAAATTAACCTGTATTTGCATTACATGGAGAGGAAAACCTTCCACGGTTAACCTGGTGGCAAGGGTACTCTAACCCATGATCCGTCTACCACTCATGATATTTTATGTTAGAACTGTGGTCTGTGCGAGCTAGGGGAGAAATTCTTATCGGCCAGTCATAGCTGGGATTTGAATGCGGGTTAACTCATTGAGAGGCGAACGCTCTATCCTCTGAACCTCCGCGGCTCCTTATTTAGTTATTGTTGATTTTTTGCAATTTTCATCGATTTTATGATTTTTTTTCTTTTTGTATGTGTCTATGATTGCTGACAAATAACTCTTTTGCTAAAATTTTTTAATAAGAATCAACAGATATGAAGGATAAGTTTAAATCTATCAGTTGACTACTCTTGCTGTCAAATACTGGCAATTTGAACTTTTTGTAGCTGTACATTGGGGAATTTAAATAGTTTTTGTGAAGTTAACACTTTTGCTAATTTTAGCAAAGCTTCTATGTTTTTTTTGGCTGAAATTAAAAAAAAAGTTAGTTTTTTATAATAGTTTAAAGTAGTTAGATAGTATGATTTCTGCAAATCAGGAAAAGTGTTTAAGATTCGGAATAATTCTCTCGTCAAACTGTGTAGGATGTTGTCACATAAAACTGTATAACTATTGTTTGATAAAGATTGATGTCAGATGCTGAACTTAATTTTCTTTTGCAAAATTTAAAATTAAAAGTGAATTATGTTACACAAATATTTTACATTTTTATTAATGTGCATCGATTGTAATCTCTTTTATTACATGGTTGCTTCTATACTATTTTTTGTAATCTCTTATTGATTGTTTAAAATCTGTTTTATTCCATGCTTACTTCTATACTATATTTTATTCAGAAAGAATTGTTTAAATTCATGCATTTTGAATCAAACATAATTATTAGCCATAAAAATTTTGTTTTCAGCAGCAGAGGATGATTATAACTTGCCAGAAGAATGTATATCAAAGCCGTTAAAATGTAACATTATCCATTAACCATTTGTATCCGATAATTTCTAGCATATACTTCTGCAGTGTCAAGTTCTCCGACTTTTTAAAAACAAACTTTACAAAACGACTTTACAAAATTTAAAATTGAAACTGAATTATGTTACACAAATATTTTATATTTTTATTAATATGCTTAATTTGTAATCTCATGCATTACATGCTTGCTTCTATACTATTTTTTGTAATCTCTTATTAATTGTTTAAAATCTGTTTTATTCCATGCTTTCTTCTGCACTATTTTTTATTCGGAAAGAATTGTTAAAATTCATGCATTTTTAATGATATAATTAATTATTAGCCATATAAATTTTGTTTTCAGAAGAAGAAGATGATTCTGAGATGTCAGAAGGTTCTGTATCAGAAGAAGAAGGTAACATTAATTAAAAAGAAAAGTTAATGGGTCATTTTATTTCTGTGTCTTTATTATTTTTCCTGATACAAAATGTTATGCCTTTATTTGTCCTGATTTTCAGTGTTTTATCTTGGTATTAATCATTTTTTGTTTGTTTGTTTTGTTTTGTTAAGAGCTTACAATTTTGATGAACGAATGATTTTAAAAGAATCATCTAAATTTTTTTAAAATTATTTGCACTTAAAAAGAAATAAGGTAAACTGTACTACTGAAAACTAGGGAAAACTAGCGGTTCTGAGAGTGAAATCTGAAACGTTTTTCAGATAAAACTAAGTTAGCATAATACGAGATTGCTTCTTCATCATCTCCTCAGCTGAATGAAACATCGTTAAGTCAGTATTGGAACAAAAATTTTCTTAATTAACCACACGCTTTCTTTCAGAGTAAGTATGTATTTTTTGTTATATGCCTTTTTCATAGG